TAGTCTCAGGTTAGCTTTGTCTATGATCATAAATATCTTAGCGAGATTTGGCAAATGCTCTCTCGATCTCTAGGACTTTACGATCATGTCACCGACATAAGCCTCCATCGTGCTTCCCAACACCTTTATGAAAACCTTAGCCACCATCTGGGTGTAACTGTGTAAGTTACCCTGGAATTCCTCAACCCAAAGGCCATTACGAAATAACAATAGATACCTTCAGGAGTCATTAAACTTGCATTCTCTATGTCGTCCAGATGCATTCGGATGTGGTGATACCCACTAAAGGCATCCATGAAACTCATCAGTCTCGGGTGCCATTTGATTTATATTTGGCAGTGGAAACGGATCCACCAGGCAAGCTTTGTTTAAACCAGTCTAGCCTACGCACATCCTCTAATTTGGAGGCTTGGACGCAAGAACTACGTCCGGCATAAGCCTCCATCGTGCTTCCCAACACCTTTCTGAAAACATTAGCCACCATCCGGGTGTAAGTTGCCCCGGAATTCCTCAACCCAAAGGCCATTACCAAATAACAATAGATACCTTCGAGAGTCATAAAACTTGCATTCTCTGTGTCGTCCAGATGCATTCGGGTATGGTGATACCCAGAAGGCATCCTTGAAACTCATTAATTCGCACCCGACAGTCTCGTCCACCATTTGATCAATATTTGGCTGAGGCAAGCTTTGTTTAAATCAGTCTAGTCTACGCACATCCTCTAACTTGGAGGCTTGGACGCAACTCATGCAAGAACTACGTACGCGAGCCACTCTGGGTACTGGACCTCTCGAGACATCGCCAATCTTCAGCAAGCTCGCTACCTCCTTCACAAACTTTTCTTTTCTGCAATAAGTGCCTCCTGTTCTGTTTTATCGGCTGGGATCCAGGGATGACATCTAGCCGGTGCACAACTATAAGCCCAGGCATGACCGCCGAACTCCAAGCAAATACCTTCTCAAATCTCTAAAGGACCCAGACAATGCCTTTGGGTAAACCTCGGCTAGGGTTCCGTGGAATCTCTTCTACTCAACCTGCAACCTCCACCCGAGGTCTTTTCATTTTAGCTTTTAGGTACTAGGTCGTCACTCGTCACCTTGTTTACTTCGGTGTCGTGCTTCATAGCTTCTTTTGTAGGGGACACATACAAAGACTGGGAAACTTCTGACATCCCCTCGCAACACCGAACCCTTTCGGTGTTGGGAATTTTATGCAGAGGTGCTTAGGGGAGATCACAACTCCAAGTCTTCTAGTCCGGGTCGGCCCAGGATCAAATTTGTACTGCAGACGATTTTCCATGTCTATCTTCCAAATTGCTTGTGTATCCACTGTATCCCCGATCTCGACGGGCAGGGTGGTTACCCCTTCTGCCTCAATCGAATCACCAGCAAAACCAGTGAGTGGGGTATGGATCATGTGCAAGTCCGACTTTTGCAAGCCAAGTGCCTTGAACGTGTGCATATACATTATGTTGACTGAACTTCGGTGTCCACAATTGTCTTGTGGATCACCAAGTCTCAGATACCAATCTCTATGATCAAGGCATCTATATGGCTGCAAAACTCAATTAGATCAGCATTAGTAAACAGGTTCAGTTCTTACTTTCTTCTCATCAGCTGCCAGACTTGAACTCTAGCAACCATCAGGTCATGGGCCCACTTCATCCCGGAGGTGGTGGGATCTCCACATGCGTTGCTACCTACGATGTAGTTGCATCAGGATGCCTTTTTACCCTCCTTGGGTGGCCTCGCTCTAATCTTCTCCCTTGCTGTCCAGCTCGAGGTGCCTCTTGCTCTTAGGACCCGGGCTCAACGCAGGGCACTTAGTCTTCCTTCCGCTTCAAGACCCGGTTGCTCCTGGGTTCTCTTTTTCTTCCTCTGTCCGAACAAAACGCCAAAGGTGACCCCTCCATATCATTTTTTCCAGTTCATTCCTCATTGTGTAGCAGTCGTTGGTGTTGTGATCATTCTTCTGATGGTACTCACACCACTTTCTTATGTTTTTAACCTCCATCACCTTATTGGACTAGGTTGGGTAAGTGACTTATCCTTTTTTCCTCGCGTAGTCCAGTATCTCACCAACAAGGTCGTGTGTAATCAAGGTCAATTTCTTGACATCCGAGTGCGTGTTCTGGCCCGGACCTCTCTTTGGACCATCGGGAAAGCCCTTCTTGTTCTTTCCTTCTTCTTAGCGTTAGCTCCCTCTTTCGCCATCCCGGGACATCCTCCGGCTCTTCATTCCTCTCTTCCAAGGTAATGTATCTGTCCTCCCTAGCCATGGTCTCGTCGAAGGAATCTGCCGGATGGGTAGTCAGGTCAACAGAGAATGGAACTTCCAGGAGAGATGCGGTAAATATTGCCAGGCCGGACTTGTCATCTGCTCCTTCAACTTTCCGAGACTCCTTCCTCCATCTGGTGAGGGATTTCTTCAAGGATTCACCCTTCTTGTGCCTGATGAAGGCAAAGTGGGTGAAGTGTTTCTTGGGTTTGCAGCCCCTCCAGTTCGATGCTCCGCGGGGGAATAGAATCCAACCAACACGTAACTGTACTGTCCACTGTTTGCAAAAAACAGTGGCATATCAGATCATCCTCAGCCGCTATAGATTGCATGTTGTTATGATAGCACCTGCAGCCGGGTCAGTCTCCCCGTTGTACCTTTTCATAGGCAGGACCTTAAACCCCATGAGATATGAGAAGGCCATTACCCTTAGTGAGAAACGGGTCTCCTCCACCTTACTTGGGGCCCTTCGGGGCATCCACCGTCATCTGCAATTTCTCCATTCTCTTGCGGAGGTCCCACATTTTGTCTGAGCTTTCATCCCAACCTTTGTCGAGGCATCCTGCTCTTGGTGCACGTCGGGCACTTTGCGCTTCGTCATCTCTTCTTCGGGCGCTATCCCCCCACATGAGGAATCCGGCCTTGCTACGTGTGCGGTGTGCCCCGGCTGTGAACCAAGATCATAGTTGGGTTCTTTTCTAGCCTCTCCTTTACCGGTACCCGGAGTCTTTCGAGGATCCCGCCACCTTGAGGCATCACCTCCGCATTGTACGGCCGGTTCACCCACCTTTGCCTTGCCTTTGCCATCTGCCCAGCTGCCCTTGCGTGGTCTTCTGACAACCTCATCCCCTGGGACAGAGGTAACAAGGTCATACTGTCCAGGCCCCCATCCCGGGCTGGGCGCTTTGGATGCATCATGGCTTTCTCCAACCTGATGTGCTCGTTGTACTCCTGAATCTGGTCGTTCTCAAACTCAATCTTGCCACACCTTCGGATATACGCTTACTGTTTCTCCGGGCCTGCTCCTGGTCCGGAGAGGGCGTACGGGTCCCCAACTCCTGTCGTACTGCCCCACGGTTCATTAGGGATTGACACAATGGCACATACGACGAGTCGGGAATCCAATCCAATCTGTCCAACACACTGGTCAGCAGCAACGCGATGTTGTTCATGGCATTCTCCATCGTGGTAGGCTGGAGTGCCAACTCCCTCCCCTCTGTGGAGGGGTATGGTGCAGCGGCGGACGACTGGGCAGTCGTCGCCGGAACCCTAGTGCCGTTTCTCGTCCTTGGTCCTGCCATGCTCCCAAACATGCCTCGCACTAGTCTCTCAATGAAAGCACCAATGATGAACCTTTAATTCCACCGAATATGTTAATCCCATGATCCCTCAAGAATAATAAAAAATAGAAATGAATAGGAATAAATAAGAGACAAGAATGTTGAACTCAAGAATGGTATGAAAGACTCCGGGTAAATTTCACCAATGGTACCTGAACTTTAGCTGGAATTTCGAAATGGTACCTAAACTTCAAATTCTTTCATAAAAATCCCTGAACTTACACAATCCTTTCACTAAAAGTCCATTTGCCCGTTTCTAGGTTAACTTCTGGTCATTTGGGCCAAATTAGAATTTTATATATTTTAAAATTTTCAATTTGACCCCATTTCTTTTTTTCTTTTCTTCCGCTCCCTGCCGTCGTCGCACCACGTCAAAGTCGCCAGAAACTCAACCTGGTCAGATTCCGGCAGGATTATACTATGGTTTGTCGGCGGATTATACTATGGTCAGATTCCGGAAGGAGGCGGCGTTTTCCGGTGGGTTGGAGCGTTTTCCGGCCACCTCCGGCAAAATTGACGTTGCTCATCCCCTCCAAAGTGTTCGTGGCATCTCGGCGACCCCTAAGGACCCCTCAATTGCAAGATTTGATGGCGATTTGCAAAAAATCCCAATTTCAGATTTTAGGGTTTTTTCGAGTGGAAAAATTCAAATTCGAGGAGTTGCAGGCCAAATTGGACAAAATGGTTCGGATATTCTTGATCCTCATCTCAAGACGAAGAGAACGATGTTGGTCCCGCCGGAATCTGACCATGTTGAGTTTCCGGCGACTTTGACGTGGTGCGACGACGGCGGGGAACAGAAGAAAAGAAAAAAAGAAATGGGATCAAATTGAAGATTTTAAAATATTTAAAATTGTAATTTGGCCCAAATGACCGGAAGTTAACCTAGAAACAGGCAAATGGACTTTTAGTGAAAGGATTGTGTAAGTTCAGAGATTTTTATGAAAGGATTTGAAGTTTAGGTACCACTTCGAAATTCCAGCTAAAGTTCAGGTACCATTGGTGAAATTTACCCGAAAGACTTCCCTTGGTTCGGGGGTATTTGTAGCCTCCTAAGCTTAATCTCACTAGGCATTTACTTATGATACTTACGTAAACCTCTCTCCAAGTAATTAACTCTAGCGTATGGCGTTAGCCCATTCAGAAAACCTCACGGACTGGGTGGGTTAACCTGCCAATCTGCTCAAGGGTAGCCTTCGGGTTTGGGCTCTAATCTTGGCCTAATGCATTGAATAAATATATTGGACTAATTACATTAATAATTACATCTCAGACCCAATATACCCATCAATAATAATAATATTAATATTCTACTATGTTTGAAAAACACATGCAAAAATAGAAACTTTGTAGCATGCTAACACCTGTTTTTTCTTGATATAGTGCACATGAGTTTTGTAGTGTTGGTGATGATTCTTGCATAATATTCTGGGATTCAAGACAAGGTTCAGCACCAGTCATGAAGGTTATTCTCTTCATTTGCTTCTTTCTATGGCTATAGCTTTAATTTATACTTGTAAAAGATGACTGCCAATTTGTGGAAACATTTTGCAGATGCTTTGTTTGCTGGAATTAAATTATGAAGACATCATTATTTTTAATATCATACCAGTTGCTCTTATTTACTGTCAAGCATGCTCTTTCTTGACAATCAACAATCTATGTCATTTCATCGTATGAATATGTTTTGGAATATAATCTCAGAAAATTACTCCTGGGGTACCCTTGATTTTTTTGGTAAAAACTTCCAAGTCTCACATTTTCTGTAATATACGCCGGGGCTCCTTAAATTTAATGGTAATTTACTTCGAGGGTACATTCTGTCCATTTCGCTGTTAGGATTGAAAGTTCCGTTAATTTGACCAATCGAAGACAAAACATTTTTACTCTTGGATACCTCACGTTTTCTGCTAAGAACTTGCAGGTCCCATATTATTAAATCTTGCATTAAATAATCATTATTTTTATTAAATTTTAATAAAATTTTTCAAATATCTAAGTTATATAATTATTATCTTAGTTGTTATAGAAAAACCCTTACCTTATTTATAGTTTCATCACAAATTTTATTTTAAATCATTGAATTTTTTTTTTAAAATTAAAGTATTTATTAATTTTTTAAATTTTAGAACTATTTATAAACTAAAGTATTTATTATTTGTTAATTATTTGAAAATTGAATACGTGTATGATAAAATTATATATTTAAATGTTAAAAAACATGTATAATAAAATTGAAAAATAAAATGAATATAATTTTTTATGTATTGTAAACAAAGATTTATTAAAATAATTTAATATTACAAATTAAGCATATATTAAAAATTTATAAATACTTAAAATAATAATTTTTAAATTAATAAAATATATTTTTTTTCGTTTTTTTGTGTGATGAAAATATAAATAAGGTAATGGTTTTTAATAACAACTAAGATAATATTTATTTAACTTTGAAATTGAAGGATTTTGTTAAAATATAATAATATAATGATTATTCATGGTGAATTTTAATAATATGAGACCCGCGAGTTCTTAGCAGAAAACGTGAGGTACCTCGGAGTAAATTTTTTAGTGTTTGATTCGGAAAAGTAACAAAACTTTCAATCCTAATGGCCAAATGAACGGAATGTACCATCAGAGTACATTACCACAAATTTTAAGGACCCCTAGAGTATATTTCATATAATTTGGGATCAAGGAGTTCTTACTAGAAAATTGAGGGTACCCCAAAGTAATTTTCTGTTATAATCTAGCCTGTTATTTTCTAGATTTTGATTGAAAAGGTTTTGGAAATGTATTAAAGCAGAACGGATCAAACTGCTTATATCTTGTTTAAATCCTAGTATTGCTCCTGGATATTTTAATTTTTGTCGAGATTTGTCTTTTTTCTTAAGATACTCCTGAAGATATTCCATTTTCTTTGGTTGGCTCTTTGTTGTTTAGCGTACACATGCAACTAGATTTTAATCTGGGACTGTTATTTTCTGGCAGGTTGAAAAGGCCCACAATGCTGATCTCCATTGCGTTGATTGGAACCCATTTGATGTGAATCTTATCTTGACTGGGTATTACATGATAGCTATTACTTTCCGAACTCTGCTGTTGAAATTCTTCATGTAATATAGACAAATATTGTTTTGTGATTTTTGTCTGAGATTAACACACCATTTAACTGTTGACCTGGTGTCACCATTAGTATAAAAAATCTATTCTAGGTATTCATATACCCTGTTTCTTCAGGTCTGCTGACAACACAGTTCGCATGTTTGATCGTCGAATACTCACTTCTGGAGGAGTAGGATCTCCTATCCACATATTTGAAGGCCATTCTGCTGCTGTTCTATGTGTCCAGGTATTATATACTCTACTCACCCATATCATTTTACAAGTCATTTTTTCCTTCTCAGTTTGTTCCACGATCATGTCCACTTACTAAAAAAAATATAACTTTATACATTTCTCAATTTACCCTTTATGATTTGATACGAAGTCCCCATTTGCACAACTTTTTATGATTTACCCGAGGGTAAAGTGGAAATTTGATCTCATATTATTTGTCTCATTAATGTTTGTACGAAAAACAATTTGGTTATATATGATGGTACAGATGAAATATATTCAATATATTGAGATTTCCCTGTAATCTTTGGGAGGAACATGTTTGCCTAATAGCTTCATGGGTGATTTAGCAAACTTTTACATTTTGCAGTGGTCTCCGGACAAGTCATCTGTCTTTGGAAGTTCTGCTGAGGATGGCATCTTGAACATTTGGGATCATGAGAAGGTTTGGGTGATGCACACTTATTCTTTCGAGCATTTAAAACTTATGCAGATGATCTCTTCTGTCAATTACTAATGGAGCTAAGATTATCATTATTGTCAGTGTTTTTAGCTTCACCCAAATAATGGACTAAATCAAAATGGCACATTAAATTCCCGTGCTTTGTACTTTCTATGAAGTTATGGTATTGGGTAGTAAATTCAGCAATGCATCAAAGGTCTAACAGAAATAGCCTCTCTGTATTTTACAGGGGTAAGACTGTACATCTTGACCCCTACGTAATTCCATTGGGATTATAGTGGGTTTCTTGTATATGTAGTTGATCTTAAAGTTACCTTTTGAAAACTTTTCATGTTTCATTATTTAAATGCTACATGTTTTCCTGTTTAACATATTTTGTTTTATGATAAAAATGTTTGATCAGATTGGTAAGGAACATCAGGACACAAAACCCACAAATTCTCCACCAGGCTTGTTCTTCCGTCATGCTGGACACAGGTTTGATTGATGCTTTTCTTCAATTTTCATCCGCTTTCTTGTGGCTTATTCCTCCTTGTTAGATGCTATGAGTTATTTTGCTCTGTTAATCTACTCTGTACTATTCTCAGTACAACAAAGAAGAAAGTAAAGAGGTCCACAAGAAAGAGGCAAATGAAGAAAATATTTGAACTCTTAGTTTTTAAATACGTAGTACAAAATATTTGAGCTTATGAAAATATCTTTGAGAGAATTAGTGCCAGTTTGCTGACCTTTTGTTTATGCTTATCATCATTATGATTTATGACTTACCAGCCACATGATTTACTTTACCAAGTGCCAGTTGCTATTAATTATTCCGTATTTGACTTTGCTTGCCGTTTTTTTGACAATGGAAAAAGTATTGCAAAAGGGTTACAGTATTCATTTGACTGATGTTGCTAAAATAATGAAAATGACTATTCTACCCCAATCTTAGATATCATTCTCATTGATTTCTTAAATAAATACTCCTTATATTTTAAGTGTTTCCGATAATGCATGGAGCTGAGCAACTTCAGCACAGTGTAGCATATTTACTTAAACGTTTCCAGTGAAACTCACCTTTACGAAATGAACTCTGAAAAGCAAGAGATTGGACCTGTTCAAACTTTTAAGTACAGTATTATATTTCTTTCTTTTTTTTCTCCCAACATATTCTGAATTACAGGCTACCATATTGTATTCTCTTTTTCTTAAAACACTACTGAGAGAATCAAATGATTATTTTTTTGCTGCAAAAGATGTGTATAACATTATTGTGAGAATCAGTGCTATTTATTTTTACATCCATTTCAAAAATTTCCATTTTCTGCGAGTGTACTCAGGGATAAAGTTGTTGATTTCCACTGGAATGCATCGGACCCTTGGACAATTGTTAGCGTATCTGATGATGGCGAAAGCACCGGAGGAGGTGGCACTTTGCAGGTAAAAACCCAAACTCCCCTCCTCACCTCACCCTTCACCCTCCACACAAAAAGAAACAAGATTTACGATTTAGGGCTCGAAGGATTACTATTCATATTTTCAGTATGCTTTTATTTTATGTTTTCCGTTTCATGGGAATGGCTCAACACTTTGCAAGTCTGTGTTTCTTGACTTGAGAAACTTGTTCTGCAGATATGGAGAATGATGGACATCATTTATAGGCCACAAGACGAGGTTATCGCCGAGCTGGAGAAGTTCAAGTCTCACTTGCTGACCTGTTAGCTTCTCCAATTTCCTTGTTTTTCGCCGGGGACGAAAAACTTGTAGAGAATTGAATTTCAGATATTCCATTCTGGAATGCAAAATCCCAGTCAATTTGGTGGAATTTTCTGAAATATTTGTCCTTTGTTTATTTAATCTTTATAAAGGTTTGGGATGGTGTGAAGAGTTGGCCAATTTCAATTAGAGTATATTTTTGGACCCAAACATATATTCGATGAAAATAAAGCTGGGGAGCACTCCCTTCTCTTGTAAATCACACCATATTTTTTAAAGTGCTTATTAAAAGACTAATAATAATATTGTTCTTATATTTTATTTTCCAATTGGGTATTAAAACTCAAGGGGTTATTGTCTACTATTATGGTTTGGATAAATATGGTTTTATATGTTTTATGAAAGTATCTCACTTTAATTAATATTACAAAGTTTTGAAAAAAAAACGTCAAAATAACATGTCAATGGTATAGTACGGAGTATGTGCTGAGGATGGAGTGTTACATGAAGCTTTTTTTAATTGGTGCGTATTCATATCTCTACATACCCTACATTTTCTTTCCTGAATCCAAATGTAGGCTCTATTCGGTTCAGAACCAACTCTTAAATTTCAATGTTTTTCAATTTTTTCGAGTTTTTTCCAACTCTTTAAAGTTTTTTTTAATTCATAGTTTTTTCTAATTCTTTTCAGTTCTTTTTAAGTTATAGTTTCTTTTAATTCCCTTCATTTTCTTTTTATTTCTTCCAGTTTTTTTAGTTTTTACAATTGAAACGAACAGAATTATACAATGGTTTGTCCATAACTGTCACTGGTCTGTAGGCAAAGTTCATGGTTTTATCATCCTAATACAGACCATGTTTGTGTAACAGATGCCACTGCAACGCCAGTCCAAACCACACGGCCCAAGAGGACGAGGAGGTGCCCTAGGTGTTTTGACGATTATGTATAATGTTTCCGTAGAAGACTTTATTATTTTTATTTGATTAAATATTGTACGTTAGATTTTTGTAGGTGAGCGTGATATAAGCTCCTTTAAGGGTTTTCTTTTCGGTTCTTTCCCTTGACGCATTTGTTGAACCGAAAGAATAAATAACCTAGTTGTGTTAGGATTGAGATACTTCTTTTACTTATAAATAGGGGTATTAATTTGACATTGAATAACAAGAAGAAGTTCAACCATTCTTTACTTTCTCTCTTCCATCACCTCACGTCTCTTTTCCTCTCCCCACAACCGCCGTACGTTACTCTTGTAGTAACATTGGTGCTTCCATTCGACCTCAACCACGTTTAAACCAAGATGAGTTCCGATTCCGGCAAGAATTCTGAAACTCCCTTGCCGCTCACCTCATCATGCAAGCTATCCAGAATCTCGGTTTGGAGCTCAACAATACCAACAAACGGCTAGATGCCTTGGCCGGCAAGGTTGGTGGTGACGTTACTGGGACGGGCGGTCCTAAAAACATATCTCTTGGCGGCCGTTGGCAGCCCCTCCGTCACGCACAACTGGACGAAGCGAGTCTAACGATCGCCAGCCCCGCTTGCGCATCGACCCTCCACGGTTTAACGGCGAGGATTCGGTGGGTTGGATTCCGGATACAGCAATATTTCGATTATTTTACGTTGGCCGAAACTTTTGCGTTAGCGCAAGAACTAGACGCATGCACGTCGCCAAGGGGCAAGTCAGACGGTCATGGCAGTCTAACAGCGTGGGCAGTTTTCCCCAGCCGCAGGTTTCTTCCACCGAAAACAGCAGCGCCAAACCATCCTCTTTGCTGCCCATTGTTTGCCTTACACCTGCTGAACGCGCCGAGCGTACTTGCAAAGGGTTATGTTGGAATTGCGAAGAGAAGTATGTTCCGGGTCACCATTGTGCACACAAGTTTTTGGCACTCTTGGGCACCGACGATGAGGAACCAACGGATCCTTCTACGCCCGATGTGCCAGAGGACAATTCCCTTATTACGGGGGATGTCTCGAGTATCCACACTATGTTCGGGGTTTCTAATCCTCGTTCGCTCCGACTTGCGGGATCTATTAAGGGGTCAGCGGTTCATGTACTCATTGATGGTGGTAGCACTCATAATTTCATTCACCCGACCCACGCGGAACGTCTGTGCTTAATTTTGCATCCGGTAACGCCGTTTCAGGTATATGTAGGGAACGGCGATTCTCTACGCTGTTCCTACTATTATCCTAAGAGTCTGTTAATTTTGCAAGGACATGAGTTTGACGTTGATTTGTATTTGCTTCCGGTTCATGGTCCCGATGTAGTGCTTGGCGACCAATGGTTACAAGGGTTGGGTAAAGTTTCTCACGATTACTCCACGATGACCATGGAATTCCACCGCAACGACACTTTGGTGGTTTTAAAGGGTGATGTTCCGGCGCCTAAGTCGCTGTCCTTTTCGGCTTTCCAAGCCCTCACTGCTTCCGAGTCGGAGTTTGATTTGTACGAGATCTTTACCATGCAGGAGACGGAGTCAAACCCGCCATTGTCCGAAGATGACCTGCCGACAGTTCCTCCACTGATCCGCCAGGTCCTGCTCGAGCATGTAGGAGTGTTCCAGCTTCCCTCGGGTCTCCCGCCATCACGCATGTGGGATCACCGTATACACCTTCATTCGGGAACAAAGCCTATTAATGTCCGGCCGTATCGTTACCCTTATTTTTAGAAAGGTGAAATTGAACGTCAAGTACGTGACATGATACGGCAGGGTATTATTCAACCGAGCCACAGTCCTTTTTCATCTCTTGTTTTTCTCGTCCGCAAGAAAGACGGTACTTTCCATTTTTCTGTGGATTATCGAGCTCTGAACAATGCCACGGTGCCAGATCATTTTCCGATTCCTACCACGGACGAGCTTTTTGATGAACTTGGGGCCGCTCGCTTCTTCACCAAATTTGATCTTCGCTCTGGATATCATCAAATACGGATGCACCAGGATGATGTTTCCAAAACCGCGTTTCGAACCCACAACGACCACTTTGAATTCTTGGTCATGTCGTTCGGGCTCACGAACGCACCGTCCACTTTTCAGGCGTCCATGAATCAATTGTTTCGCCAATATTTGCACCACTTTGTGATTGTTTTATTGATGACATATTGGTGTACAATACGTCCCTTGAAGCACATGCTTCTCACCTGGAGGCCACACTACGATTATTGCGTGACAATCGTTTCTACGTTAAACTTTCAAAGTGCTCGTTCTCTTGCACCACAATTGAGTAATTAGGCCACCTCATCTCGGATGGCGTATTGAAGGCCGACCCGTCAAAGTGTGAGGCCATGGCTGCCTGGCCAGTTCCTTCCACCGTCAAGCAATTGCGAGGATTTTTGGGGCTTACCGGCTATTATTGGTGTTTCATTCAGGGGTACGCCACTCTCGCGTCTCCCTTGACCGACCTTCTCAAACAAGGCGCTTTTCACTGGTCACCCGAGGCGAAGTCCGCTTTCCAAACTTTAAAGGAGGTCATGACCAAACCACCGGTGCTCCATCTGCCATATTTCTCCAAGCCGTTTATTGTGGAAACGGACGCATCAACCGACGGCATCGGAGCCGTTTTGATACAAGCCGGTCATCCCATCGCTTTTTTCAGCAAAAAATTAGGGCAGCGCCGTCGTGCCTCGTCGAGATACCACAAGGAGCTCTATGCCATTGTGGAGGCAATTCAAAAGTGGAGGTAGTATCTATTGGGCTGGGAGTTCACTATTCGGAGTGATCAAAAGAGTTTGAGGGAACTTCTTCTTCAGGTCATTCAAACGCCCGACCAACAATTTTACATACGGAAGTTAATGGGCTTCAAGTTCAAAATTGAGTACAAACCCGACAGCGCTAATCGCGTCGCCGATGCCCTCTCTCGACTAGAAGAGATGCCGCCTTACCCCTCTTTGTTCATCACTTATTCTCAACCAGTGGCCAATATTCTCAGCGGGATTCGTAGTGAAAATCAAAGTATGGAAGATCTCCGAGCCCTACATGAGGCAGCGACGCGTGGGGCTCTACTTCCCCCATACTCTATTCAGGATGGCCTTCTATACTTTAAACAACGGATCTGCATCAGTTCTTCTTCCAACTTGCGCATGCAGCTCTTGGCCGAATACCACTCTTCGCTGGCCGCTGGACACACGAGTGCAGATCGCACTTTTCGTCGCCTTGCAGTGACATTCTACTGGCCCCGCATGCGCAAGGACGTACAGCACTACGTGAAGGCGTGTCATATTTGCAAAGTGACAAAATACTCGACTTAGAAAACATCGGCTCTTCTTCAACCGTTACAAGTTCCCATCCAAGTTTGGGACAAGCTTTCAATGGATTTCATTACGGGTCTTCCCCCATCACAAGGGCGTTTGGTGATTCTCATGGTGGTCGACCGCCTCACCAAATGCGGCCACTTTGGGGCTTTGCCGTCCAGTTTTGATGCCCCCCAGATGGCCAAACTTTTCGTTGAAATCATCGTCAAGCACCACGACATGTCGTCATCTATCGTGTCCGATCGCAATCCCATCTTCATGAGTACGTTTTGGCAAGAATTGTTTAAGCTTAGTGGGACAACGTTGAAGCACTCTACGGCCTATCACCCACAAACGGATGGCCAAACGGAGGTCTTGAATCATGGACTAGAGCAATATTTGAGGGCGTTCACGAGCCGCCGCCCGTCCAAGTGAGTTAATTTGCTTCTATGGGCTGAACTTTCCTTGAATTGATCCTATCATGAAGATCTTCGGACTTCCCTATTTCAAGCACTGTACAGCCGTCACCCACCACCATTGATTCCTACGCAGCCAATTCCCAGTCGAAGCCCCGCGGTCGAAGCCATGTTGACGAAACGTGCCAAGCTGTTAGAGGAGTTGCGTGACCATTTGCGCAAGATGCAGCAACGCATGTAGGATCAAGAAAACTGCCATCGCCGGGAGGTTTCGTTTGTCGTTGGGGATTGGGTCTTGTTAAAACTTCAACCATACCGTCAGTACTCAGTCGCAAAACCTCTTTCAGCAAAATTGTCACAGCGGTATTATGGTCCGTTTCAGGTGCTTGAACGAATTGGGGTTGTGGCTTATCGGTTAGTGTTACTCGAGGGGTCTCGTATCCATAATGTTTTTCACGTTTCTTTATTAAAGCCTTATCACTCAGAGGTTGCCCCTGCGTCGCCTGGTAGTCTGCCGCGTGATTTTGAGAGGGGCCGGCCGATTGCAACACCCACAACGGCAGTTGGCGCACGCACGGTTTTGGTGCATGGCGTGCCCCAAGAACAATGGTTGATCACCTGGACGGATGGCGGATTGAGGGATGCTAGGTGGAGCCGGTGGAGTCTATTCGGAAGTCGTTCCCCCGGGGGAGAATGTTACGGATGCCACGGCCCCAAGAGGACGAGGAGGCACCCTAGGCGTTTTGACGATTATGAATGATGTTTCCGTGGAAGACTTTATCATTTTTATTTGATTAATTATTGTACGTTAGATTTTTCTAGGTGAGCATGATATAAGCTCCTTCAAGGATTTTCTTTTCGGTTCTTTCCCTTGAAGCATTTGTTGAACCGACAGGATAGATAACCTAGTTGTGTTAGGATTGGGATACTTCTTTTACCTATAAATAGGGGTATTAATTTGATATTGAATAACAAGAAGAAGTTCAACCATTCTTTACTTTCTCTCTTTCTCTCTTCCCTCACCTCATGTCTCCTTTCCTCTCCCCACAGCCGTCGTACGTTACTCTTGTAGTAACAGTTTGCTTCATGAGATCTCGACTGGACTACTGCGTTGGGCATCAAGAATCTGCTTAATTTGAGCTAAACAATTTTGTTACAGTTCATTATTTCCCCTCCATCCAAGTTGATTTTTCCCTTTGATTTTTCACGATTTCTTATAAAACATTGACTTTATCTTTATTTTCTAATTAATATTTATTATAAAAATATAATATTTTAAAATTATGTTTCAACATTAACATATTCATATTAAATTTATATTATAATTCAGTGTAATTTTTCTAAAATTCATAATAAAACTTTAAAAACATTGACATAAAAAGTCAAATGGCAAGAACCAACTTGGGCCTTTCAAAAAAAACTTGGGCAGAGAGAGTACTCTACATTATGTGGTGTATCTTTGTGGTGATGTTTATTGACTTATTGTTGAGATTTTTTTTTAAAACAAGTCACTTATTAAAGTATTTTTTATAAAGTTACTTTAATGAGAGATGACATTTTTCACAAATAGTCTTTTTCTAAACTTTCTATCATTCTCGGTTAATTTGAGGGCTAAAATTATAATTTGACATCAACTCTATGCCAAGTAATGTATTCTGATGTCAGTTTGACGATATCACAACATTAACGACTATAGTTATGGATTAGGATTACAACAAAAGACTACATCTGTACATTATGGTTGTAGTAGACACTGACCGTGATTCCCAAAAGACACATCAGGGGCGCCCATGGAATAGTGTTTGACGAGAAGATATATGATCATTGTGAATTTGTACTTTTACCCCTCAAATTAACACCAAAATGACAGAAAGTTAAAAAAGGACTAATTGTGGAATGCATATACTAGAAATCCGAATGAATTGGAATGCAAAAAGATGGGAGAGAGTGGCGGTTTATATAGGGTTGGACGCGAAGCTTCCAACCCATGTTGTCCACCGTGAAGCGTCCATATCTGGATGCTATGCCACATCACCAGCCACTCATCGATTGCCACGTGTCAGTCTTGACAACCAATCCACGTGAAGCGTCCAAGTCGAAGAATCCAACCCGCAAAGCTTCCATGGGTTGGACGCTTCAGATCCATTTCCTTTGTTGGGCTCCACGGCTTGGTTCCATTTTGGGCATGATTCTGCTTCCTAATGTCTTTGAACACTGCATTTTCCTCTCCGAGATTCTCTGGATGTTAATTCTCATTTTGAAGCTTCTTTTTCTCATATAGGAATACAAATTGAAAATTTAAACCGATATATTTTAGAACCAATTATAATTCCTTTTAGAACAAACCAACATATATTGTTCATATTAACATGTAATTATGCACTGATTTACTACCATTTTCGTGCAACAACGTTTAAATTAAATATGTAAAATAAAATAAGAACATAATGGACTTATCAACTACTTGCAAATTAAATAAGAAAATATTTTTTTCCCTAAAAAATGGCATAGTAGTATCGTAGATTTTTTATCCAAATGTGAAAAGGCTGAAACCGCCCACATTTGGTCTTCCTTGTATTCTCATAAACTTTTGTTAAATAATATCAAAGAGAAAGAAATGCATGAAAATCCCAAGCTCACAAACGCCTTCAAAGAATCAAAAGATTTGTCAAGTGAAGAGTTGAGTGAGTCAAGTGATGATTCAAGTGACTCAAGCTCATCTGAAGAAGAAAGTGATGAAGACAACGAAGACAAGGCCATGAGAACAAAATATACGGATTCCCTCAAATGGAAGAAGTATGTGAAGAGGAAAGACACATATTCAAAGCCGAAGAAAGAACAACATAAGCCAAGGTAAGCTATTTTTTAACTTATTGGGATAAGATTATTTTTTAATTGTTTTTTAAAATAAAACCTTATCGTCCCATATGTGCTCCAATTTGATTTAGCCTTAGTTTGCATGACTACACAATTTTACAAAATTCATTCCTAAAATCATGCCTTTTTAAAAACTATCCCCAAAAATCCCTGAAAAATAAGCTTTTAAAACTTGAATTATTTTAGGGGATTTTTTTTTGTTTTAGGGGGAGTTTTGTTGTAAATGCACCTTTTGCCCAATGATCTCCAAAGTATCATTTTTCTTAAAAATTCATTGTGATAGGGGGAGGGTTTTCAAGAATTTATACATGTTCAAAATTTTCAAAATGCCCTTTTTTATTCTGACTTGAGTGCATTCTTGTGCAATTATTTGCATCAAACTTAAACTTTTAAAAACACAAAAAAATTTCAAAGTGAGTGTTTTCAATACGCTTATTCTTAGGGAGAGCTTGCTTGCTTTTTTATTTTTACTCTCGCCTAACTCACTTTGAAGTATATTGTTTGTCAACATAAAAAAGGGGGAGATTGTTAGCCTTGGTTTGCTAAGCCTTGTGTTTTGATGTTAACAAAAAATATAAGAGCTAAACGTTTGTAAGTGTTTCAAGTACAACAAGAATCCATTAAGATTTGGTTAATAAGAATGAATTCAAAACACTAAACTAGCGTAGAATATAGATAGATACCATTGTAAGGATATGATTTTATATACCTATATTTACAAGCTCAAAATGCACTCACAAAATATGTTTAAAACCATCCTATAAACATTTTCAAATATCAAAGGGTTTGAAACTGAAACGAGACAGATTAAGCAAATTTTGAAAAGACCAGATTAGGCGTACGGTATCCCTAAAGGTACACCCTACTGTCTCAACAGTAGGCCCTACCGTCACCATGGTAGCCTGAAACCGTTAGATCCTAGGTTCCGCCTGAGAGGTTTGGTTTTTGAGGGAACACGAAACCCACTTACCGCCACTAATGGTACCCCCAACCGTACTGTACGGTACCTTGATACCATGACAATGGTACCTCCCTACCGTGATCATTGGGTTACTATTCTTGAATGCTGATTTTGAATTTAAATAATCATAATCACCTCCCAACGGGTAATTAACCTGTTCCACTTTAAATACAAGCCTAATCCTTCATATTTAAATAAGAAACAGAACTCCAAACGTTCTCTTTATATTTTAATTGTGTTCATCATTTTATTCTTTATTTTCAATATTTTGGCTATTTCAAGAGCCTTATTCTCCTGATTTTTATACACACACTTTTGAGCTCGTATTTTAGATAAATACTCTCATATTCATAAGTTTATATTTTATTTTTGAGAGAGTATATTTTTGTTTTACACCGGCTAACTTTGGTTGTTCATATTTGTAATCGAGCCATTGTGTAGAACCCATATTTTGTGTTCTATATACACACCTCCAAAATTCAAGGATAGTCGTATAAATCCTTGTGTAAAGGGTAAAGAATAGTCATATAAATCCTTGGGTAAAGGTTCAAGGATAACCTTTCAAATCATTGGGGGGGGGAACGGTTGAAGATATCCGTGAAATCTTCATTGTAAGCGGTTCGAGATAGCCGTAGTGAAATCTCAAAGTGGATTCTATTGGCAAGGGTTGTTTTCCAAACTAGTGCGGTGCTTTAACAGAGTTCAGGAGACCAAAACTTAGTGGATTCGGAAATCCTTGAGGAGGAGCCTTGAGGTGCTAGAGTAGGGAGTTCTCGAATTAGTATAAAATTGGTGTGTCTTTTTCTTTACGCTTTGATTTACACATTTTATTTATTGCTTACGCATTTCCCAACACCATTTTTATCAAATTACGAAAAGATTTTAAATGGCTTATTCACCCCCCTCTAAGGTGTGGGCACAACGACTAACACCGACTAACATCTATTTAATTGTCGATTTGTTTTATTCGTCAGATAATCGAGGTGAGTACGTGGACATCTAACGCTAGATTATGTGTATAGGTTTGAAATTCATGTTCATAGTTCGTGCGATTGATTATGTGATTTATTTGATTATGTCGTTAAATATGTTTTATTAAAATTAAAATTATATGATATTATTGGAATTGATTGAACAATGACGACCATGTACATTTTCTTACTCTAAATTGTGTAATTTGCATGATAATAATCTTTAAAAACATTATATGTATTGAATGGTTTTGAATTCAATCGAACTCTGTTGTTTTAGAAATTTCCCGACGCCAGACGGTAGCCTAGTAACGCCTAATGGTACCTAGCTACCATCTCAGTTCATTCTCCGTTGCCGGTGTCTGTGTCAAATGGTAGGATGGTACCGGACCAACAGTACCAAGGTACCGCCAGGCAGTACAAAGGTACCGTGACAGGTACCATACCGGTAGCTGCATTCCTCGTTATTTGTTTGTTTAACCTGATTTGGAACCCAAATTGATTCCGAGACCTTATGTGTTGTATGACGGTAAGTGGAAGGTGTTTACACCCGACACTAGGCCGCTAATTGTGTTATATGATTGATTATCTGATTATTGTTATCTTTCTTGTTATGATTAAGTATAATCTTGTTGTGTTTTGTAAGTAAATAAGGAATTGAGATTGTTTTAGGTATAAGCATGAATTCTAGAGATGTTGTAAATAAATAATTAGGCTACTTAGAGAAACTCTAGGACTGATATAGTAAGATTGTAAGTGTAAATGTCAATAGGTAGAATCAGCCCTGTGGATATGATATCTGGCGGCTGCGGTTTAAAACGTACGTACAGGATCCACAAACTGTCGTTCTGAAGGGGACAGGGGTACCAGCTGCCCAACGGAGAACTCCTGCGTTGGTCAGGTCGTGTTGTATTGTAATGTGTTGAATTAACGTGATGATTTGTGACTTGTGAATTCATTTAATGATTTTTATGTGATGTTATTAATGATGTACTTGTGTGCATGATATTGTATGAGATTATGAGCTAGTGGGTTCGTCTATGTGCGTTGTCGAAACGTTATATATTTCTCAGTTAGTTTCAATGCTAATCGTGTAGCCCTTTTTCCTATTTGCTACACGTAGGTAACATGAACACTGAATGAGGAAACAATCCTAGAGGGCAGCGAGGGTAGACAGCTGATGGATGCTAGCTGAAAAGTTATTTAATAACTTAAATATTATATTTGAATTAGTTATGTGTTAAGGGCAAGAACCCAAGTCATATTTCGGATGAAGTACTTTGAAGCTTTCGCACTATTTTTTAACTTCGATGAATGTTTTAAATAATTCTTTGAATTAAATGTTTTCAATTGTTTTGAAAATTATTGTGTTTGGATTCCAATCTGGTGACAACCAGATTGGCTAACTTGTTGGTTTATGTTACGCGGGTTGGGGTGTTACACCACTGCATAGTATCTACGCCTTTCATCTTTTCTTGTGGTCCAGGGTTTCACTAGAACCACCCATGATACCAGTCTTTTCGTCAAGCGTTCTTCTCAGAGAACTCTTCTTGTGTTATTATATGTTGATGATATTGTTATTACTAGGTAATGTTATGCTCTTATTTAGGTTTTTATTAAGAGTAAGCAACAAGAATTTCAGATGAAGGATCTTGGCCCTCTTAAATATATATTTGGGCTTGAGGTTGAGCTTATCTCTGATACTCTCTTCTTCATTAGAATAGTTATGCAGGTGAACCTATTCATCATGTTGGCATTGATGACTATGCTCTTGCTCCTACACCGATTAGTCCAAGTTCCTCTACAAATGGTGTTTACACTCCCTTTTCTAATCCTCATCCTTTTCAAAGTCTTGTTGGTGGTCTTTAGTGCCTAATTGTCACATGCCCTGATATTTGATTTGCAATCAACTATGTTGCCCAAAAAATGCATAGCCCAACATATTAAGACTTCCACACATTGAAGTCTAGTCTCCGATACATAAAAGGCTCCCAGACGAAAGGAGTTCTCTTTCACAAGGGAGACTTTTGCCTATTTGGCTACTCTTGTTCTGATTGGGCTAATGACCCTACCGATAGTCGCTCCACTACTGGATATCTTATATATCTTAGGAAGAATGTTATTTCTTGCAGCACTGAAAAGCATACACGTATCTCTAAGCCATCTACAAAAGCTGAGTATCGAGCCTTATCTACTGCTGCATCCGAGGTTATGTGGCGCACTTATATTCTGGCTGAATTACATATTGCCACACCTCCACCTCTTCTTTCATGTGACAATCAGTCTACTATCTGTCTTACAAAAAAATCTAGTTTTTCACAAGCGCATGAAACATGTTAGTATAGATTGTCATTTTGTTCGTGAGCAGGTTATTGATGGATCTATGTCTGCAGAACATGTTTCTTCTGAAGAACAACTTGCGGATTTCCCCACGAAGCCCTTAACGTCATAATGTTTTTAGGCCCTTATATCCAAGCTTCCTCTTGATTCTGCCAAACTCAGCTTGAGCGGGGATGTTAAACAATATAGTAAAATAATTTTAGTTAGGGGTTGTTGTGTAATTATTTTTATGTTTTCTCTATTGGTATTGTGTAAGACCCCTTTATTTCACTTGAGCAATAATATTTTCCTAGAAAAAAGGCTAACTACTAAGCTAGTTTCTAGGGCATTACATTTACCCCTTCCTAGGAAATTCCCTGGGCGCGTACGAGTGAGAAAAAAAGGTGCGACAAGGACTTGTATTGGTTTGTGGGGCCAATCTAAAATCTTATGAGCAAATATTTCGAGCCAACGTGGGGTCCGGGGTGTTACAAATGGTATAAGAGCAACCTTGCAAACGTGACAGGCCTACAAGCTTAGTTTATCTAGTGGGGATAAACTGGGGATTTAAAAAACAAGGATGCAATGAAGACATTGTAACGACCCAAAACCCGGCTTAGTAGTTAGCCGTTATTTTAATAAAAATAAATGTTAAATCTATTTACTCTAAAATATGAATTATTGGTAAAGTTATCCGTTTAATATGAAAATTGGGTTTTCGGGTAGATCTCATAAAATGGTGACCAACGGTATATAGTTTGTTAAATTTGGATATAGGTGTAAAGCGTGGTGAATAAAATAGACGTTACAGTTCAATAAGCAAATGTAAAGATTTTATAATATTAAATATCAAATAAATTCCTAAACTAAAACCTACTCCTACCCGGATACGGAAATCCCCTTCCCTCCCCTTATATATTACACACGCACACAACACAAAAAGAAGGAAGAAGAGAAAGAAACAAACCTATGGAATACTTTGTGCGACGGAAAAGGGAGAAAGGAGAGAGAGAGCAGCCGTAGACCAGAGCCGGGAGGAAGGAGTTCGACACCACCGCCGTCTTCCTCTGCCGCCGCCGCGGGGATCGCCGGAACCAGCACTCAACACCGCTGCCGCTGTCTCGTCTTCTCCGTTTATCTAATTTGTCTAATTCGTCAATAAATCGAGGTCAGAACTTGCACATCTAACGCTAGATTATGTATATAGATTTGAAATTCACGTTCGTAGTTTTGTATGATTGATTACATGGTTTATTTGTTTATAATTAAATTGTGACTTATCTATGTTATATGTTATTATTGAAATTGATTGAACGAGGGCGACCAGGTATGCTTTCTTATTTTCAATTGGCGTGATTTGCTTGATAATAATCTTTAAAAACATAATACGTAATGAATGATTTGGAATTGGATCGAACTGAGTTGTTTTAGGAAATTCCCGACGCCAGACGGTAGCCTGGTACCGCCTAACGGTACCCAGCTACCGCCTCAGGCCAAAACGTTGCTATCGGTATCTGAAGCCCGACGGTAGGACGGTACCGTACTGACGGTACCCAGGTACCGCCAGGCGGTACCCAAGTACCGTGACGGGTACCGTACCGGCAGCTGCAAATCTCCGTTGTTTGACTGTTTGACCCAATTTGGAATCTGAATTGACTTTGAGCCCTTATGTGTTGCATGACGGTAAATGGAAGGTGTTTACACCCGACATTAGGCCGCTATTTGGATTGCATGATGATTGATTTAGCTATTTCTACTCTCTTGATTTATTATGGATATAATGTGATATGCCTTAAACGGTTAAAGTAAATTGAGGTTGCTGTTAGCTTGGATGTGAATAATTAAAGTAAGTTAATGAGTTAGGTTACCTAGATGAATAATAGGTAGACCGAGAAAACAGAATAAGGAAATACAGATAGGAATAACTGGTCATGTGATGAGCCTGCGTGCACGCATGATCAGTTGGGTAGAGCGTGCGCACGGGGGTCGTAGATCTGCTCATGGATGTGAGTAGGTGGTCCCACCCAGCCGACGTTGGATGACCTCATATCGAGCGGGTTCCTCCATGGATGTGGTTGAATCAGGACTCTAGAATAAAGTAGTTGGCCTTAGCCTAGGATAGGTTATGAGCTTAGAGATAAAGAAGTGGATTATGAGATAAGTTTGGTAATTATGATAATTATGCCTAATGGATGAATTACATGATATTATATGATATTATTGATGTTGTACTTGTGTGCATGATATTGTATGGAATTATGAGCTAGTGGGTTCGTCTATGTGCGTAGTCGAACGTTAGATAGATTCCACTCAACTTCAATGCTGAGCGTGTAGCCCTTTTTCCTATTTGCTACACGTAGGTAACAGGAATGATGAATAATGAGACGGTCTTGGAGGCAGCGAGGGCGAAGAGATGGATGGATGCTAGCTGGAGGAGTTTATTATTTAATATTTAAGTTTGAATTATTATATTCTTAAGGGCAAGAACCCAAAGTTGTATTTTGATTAAGTACTTAAAGGCTTCCGCACCGTTTTGTTAACTCTGATGGATATTTAAATATTGTTTTGAATTAAATATTTTTAAATTGTTTTGAAAATTATTGCGTTTGAATGCCAATTTAGTAGCAACCCGATCCGCTGGTCCTTGTATTTGGGTCACGCGGGTTGGGGTGTTACACATTGCATTCCTAAGTGGGGGTGAATGTAATGCCCCGTGTTAAGATGAGAATGGAAAAGAGTTCAAAAGCATTGATAGCACCACTTATACAAACAAGATGCATCTTCTTTTCGAGAGCTCTTCACTTGGAAATTCTATAGTTAAGCGTGCTGGAATTGGAGCAATATTAGGTTGGGTGACCCTCCGAGAAGTTTCCCACGCACGCACGAGTGAGGATAAAATGCATGGGAAAGACTAATGTTAATTTGAGGGGTCAGTCTACAATCTTATGAGCAAATAATTTCGGCCAAGGTGGGATCAGGGTTACAGTATTAATTTTGAAGATGTTTTTGAAAATGGAAATTATGGTATTCCTAACTATAAAGTTATGTAATCAATAGATTGGTTGCCTCAAACTTTGAATTTAAATTTTTTATTTTATTTTACTAATATGTAATTTAATTATTTTTACTCATTTAATTCATATGTTAATTAACTTTTTAAAAAATATTTACCATATTAATATCAAATATTTTTTCAAAACTAATTAGTGTAAAATAATTTATTTAGTTAATGCTCATATTTACTTATACATTGTACACCCTCCATTCGAAAATGAATTGTCTAGACACTATTTACACGGTCAAACTTTATTTACTTTGTTTATTTCACTACTTATTTCATAGTATAAAATAGTTATGTTACCTCTTGATTAAAAGAATCTTTTATGATATATATATATATGTGTGTGTGTGTGTGTGTGTGTGTGTGTATGTATATATATATATATATATATGTATATATATATATGTATATATATATATGTATATATATATATATTCTGTAAACAAGGCACTCAGGACTCTAACCACACTCTCCTTCAATGTCCATACTCTCTGAAAATCTGGAAATTCTTCTCCACACTGTTCCAGGGCCCTCCCATCAACGGAAACTCCACAATACAGGAAGTATGTTTGAACTGGTGGCTAGTCACTTGTAGAACCAACATGCGGGAGAAGCTCACTGCCAACCTCCCAGGATTCATTGTGTGGGGCCTGTGGAAAGCATATAATGTAGAGAAATACGAAGGAAAGGCGTTTAGGGAAAGCAAGATTATATTTAACATTATGACAACGATTCAATAGTGGTGCTGGGCACATCGTGGAAAGAAATGGATGATTATAGATGAAGATATGAGAACTATAGGTCTTCAGTCTTCTATTCGTAGAAGAATATTCCCCTAGTTTTCTCTATTGAAGCATCATTCTCGTACTTTGGCTGGGAAACTTGTTTTATCCCACCCGCTCTTGTTTGTAACCTCTTTCTTATTCCCTTTAATAAAACACCCATCTATTTATATATATATATATATATATATATATATATATATATCATTTTTTTTTAAAATATATATATATATATATATATATATATATATATATAAAATGGCAAGATTTGTAGAGAGAGGCGAGAGCTTTCTTCAGCCGGCAATCCAGATCGGAACTCCTTTTCCGGCAGTCTCCTTAGGCCTAGGAAATGTCGTTTCATACTCTCATCCCTCTTCATCTCCTCCGATATTCACTAATCCTATCAATGGATATATAGCTTCCACCTCAAAAAATCCAGCGAGAACTGAGACTCGTCCCATCTCCCAAGCAGCAAAGGTCTTCACCTATGCATCCCAAAGCTATGCTGATGCCCTAAAGGGTTTTCCACCGCTCACACACTCTGTTGTTGCCCAAGATTCGAGAGAGGAAGTCTTGACGAGAGGAAAAGGTGTCTGTCATTTAGAAGCAATTGTTAGACCTCAAAAACTTCGAATTGAAGGTAAGATTTTCATCTTTACGCCTTCAAAATTCAATAGGAAGCTTTGTATTACAGAAATTCAAAGGAAAAGGAAGCTGAATATATGGTTAGGGTTCGACCTTTGTGTTTGGCTCCTTAATAGTCTCCAAACTTTCACCGAAGAGGGATATCTGCGTTCCAATCTACGAAGGGAGGAAAACAGACGGATCTCTCTAACTTTTCTACCCTCTAGAAACAGCAACCACCTCAAACTTTGTGAACATCACCAAGATGGCAAGGTCTGGATCTGCATTCCTGAAGGGAACCAAGGGAATGGCCTAACCTCTTTCACCTCCTTCTTCAGAAACGCCTTTGACTCACTAAAACTCTCAATCCCTCCTCCACCTCCATTTTTGGACAGAGCCGTTGTGTGTTTTACTACCCCCGACCCTCCACTCCTTTCATCCTATTCAATTTCCTCCCACCTTCTCAGTTTAGATATCCCAGGGTACTTTGCACAGACACCTACTCAGTTCTCTCATACCACTCTTACCGCGCTCATCTCTCATGAAGAACCAAAACAGCTAGCGGCTGCACACCCAGCTCTTTCAGTTCATATCCCCCTTACCTCTCTTTCTCCAATAGCACAACCTTTCATCCCTCGAGCAAAGGATTGCGCTCAGCAGAAGGTCATAACCTCTAAACTACCTCACTTTCTAGGCTGTTCCAATTCAGATAATTACTT